GGGGGGGGGGGAGTTCAACGCAGCCTTGTTCTTTCCCTCCAGGCAATGAACCTCCAAGTGTGTGGAAACATTTTGCACCCCTTCATCCTGCAGTGGTTCTCAGGAGGCGGCAGGGGACGCCTTTCCAGACCCCCCCCCCCCCCCCAGGCCCCTTGTGGGAAATCCTCAGGGAGGCCCAAGGAAGTTCTGGCTCTGGCTCTTTCAGGGTGGGGAAAGCTCTGTTGGGGGAGGGGGGATGCAGGCGTGGGGGCCAGGGCGGCCCCTCCCCACAGGGCTGCACAGCCCCTCCCTGGAGGCGCTCGTAGGGCGCGGGGCTGCCCCAGGGGCAGAGCGGGACCCGCAACAGACCTTGGGCACCAGGTCCTGGAAGTGCTCCTGGATGACGGCGAAGGATTTCCCGTTCATCGCAAAGTGGAACCTGGTTTTGTGGGAATCTTTGCAGTCCTGCTGGGCCAGTTTAATGGGAATATCCTGCAACAGAAGAGAAGCAACAACACACACACACACACACACACCCTTCAATTGAGCCACCCGGGATTCTTCGGGCAGCACCTCTAAACTTCCAGTAAACACAGCCGAGCCCAGCTGCTAAAAGCAGCAGCGCCCCTGAGCAGAGGTTTGAGGTAGAAGGTCAACAAAACTGCCACGGCCACCTGGACCTGGCAAAGACGGCAGGCGGGGGAAACGCTGGCTCAGCACTGCCGCAGCTTAAACATCTGGTCTCAAACTAATCCCCTGCAAATTGAGCACGGATTGGACTTCCTATCTAAGGGAGACCAATTCTTTGTTTTATTCAGTAAGTTTGTATGTCGCCGATCACAGAATCCAGTGATTCTGGGCAGCTTAGAACTTATAAAACAAGTCAAAAGTTAAAATATCAGAACATTAAAACTGCACAGATTAAAATATTATTTAAATCCAGAAGGAAGTAAGAGTGCTGAGCCAATCCTCATTAAGAGGCATCCCAAGGAGTAACCAGCTTTAAAAAAAAAAAAGGAAGAGGTATGAAAAGCCACACACCTTCCCGGCCCAGGCAGGCATCCGTCTCAGGGCAGCCCCCCCAGCCCCCCCCCATCCACAGGGGGGAATTGCACAGGCTGCCCCCAAGCGGACCCATCGGCCGCCCAGCCCTCCCAGGAGAGAGGGAGGAGGTTCCAGGGGGCCCAGGGGATCCGAGGCTCGTTTGGGCCGAATGTGGAGACCCCCCCCCCCCGCAGTCACCCAGGTCCCACGGTTTTCTTCCACGGCCCCTTTGCCCCCTTCTCCTCCAAGGAGCTTCTTCAGGGAGGCCAGGCCTTCCTTCCCCCAGGACCAGTTTTCTTCCCAGTTGAAAGTGCAGGTTGGGGGCTGCTTTCCCACCTGCTGGCTCTCCCTTGGAGGGCACTTAAGGGGCCAAGCTGGGGAGGCAGGAAGGGCCTCCCCACTTACCTCTGAGTTGATGGTGGGCGTGGCCTCGGGAGCCCTCTCGAGGGCATCTGCGTGGTGCCACTTGATCCTGGCTGGGTGCCCATCCTTGGGAGGTAGCGCTTCAGCCACAATGACCTTGTCCTGAGGTAGAATCATGCCACAGTCCCGGGCCACGGAGATGGCGGTCAGCATGTTATCGCCTGTGAAGCCAACAGGGCTTGGCCAGGGCTCAGCCGCTCCCTGGCAGCCTTCTCACTCCAGCAGCAGTTCACACACACAAACACACACGCACACACGTGCATAAACACGCACGCACACGTTCTCTCACCCCCACCCCCCCCCGCCCCCCCCCCCCACCCCCCCCCCCCGCCCCCGTCCCTTAGAGCAACCTGGCCTTTCCAAAGTGCCGGGAGGCCCTTCGAAGGGGGCAAGCAAACGCCCGGAAGGCCTCCGATGCCCCCCAACCCCCAGGGCTGACCCTGGGCTGAAGGGCTGATGGTGAGAGAGCAAAGGGGGGAAGTGAGAGCGGGAGACCCAGGCCCTAGGAAGCAAGTCCTCCTTGCAGGGAGGAGCCCCTGAACCTGGCAAGGGGGCCGCGGGGGCCACGGGGGCCTCTACTCCGCAGGGGCTCCGACTCTCTCCGCATCCCAGCCCGAGAGGCCGGATCAGCTCAGCCACAAGCGCGTGGGGGGGGGGGGGCAGGCTGGGCCGGGGTCTCCCGAGCCAAAGCGGGCGGCTCCCCTGGCGCTGCCTACGCCCTCCCCCAGGGGCAAAGCCGGGGCAGGGGGACGCTCCACGCGAGAGAGAAGAGCGAGGCAGGCGGCCCCTGGCGCACCTGTGACCATGACGGTGCGGACGTTGGCCTTGTGCAAGTCCTCCAGCACGGCAGGCGTTTCCGGCTTGAGCTTATTCTGCATGATGATGAGCCCCAGGAAATGCATGCTGCTCTCGATGGCGTCTCTAGGAGGGGCAGGAGAGGCGGCACCATGGGAACCAGGGCCAATCCCAGCCCCTCTTCACTGCAGGGGCTCCGGATTTGGATCTGGCCCAGGCACCCAGGCAGGCCCCACTGGCCCTCGGGGAAGGCTCTCGGGTGCCGGCGGCTCCAGGGGGAGCAGGAGCCGCCCCTCGGGGAGGCAGGGAGGGTCGCCCACCTCGCAGGGGTGTGGCAAAGGCCCCTCTCTGCCAGGCAGAAGGGAGCCCCTGCTGGACACCCCGCTCAACAGAGCCCCTGCAAGGACCAGGCAAGGCCGGGGGCGCCTACCAGGGCCAGGAGGGCCAGGCACGAGGCTGCCAAGAGCACCGGCTTCTAGGAGAGGCTGCTCGGGCTCGTGTGTGTGCGTGCGTGTGTGTGCGTGTGTGTGCGTGCGTGTGTGTGTGTGTGGTGTCCCAGCCTGGACCTGCTGAGCAGAGAAGGCGGCTTCAGGCTGCGACCAGGCAGAGCATTCAGATGGGTCCCTGCGCCTGGACAGGACGTGGGGCGCGGCCCCAAGGAAGTCGCTGGGGGTCCAGCAGCCGCTCCCCCTGGGCCTGGGGGGCTGCGTCCCCGGAGTGCCTGGAGTAGCCCCCCCTGCCCCCCCCTCCACTCACCGGGCCACGTTCTGCACCTTGTGCCAGGAGAGCTTGGACTCCAGCTTCCTGTGAGCCAGAGCGATCACCCGGAAGCCCTGCCAGGTGTAGTCCTCCAACACCCGCTCAAAGTCAGCCGGCACTGGGGGAGGGAGAGAGGCCGGCGGCTGAGGGTCAGGCCAGCGGGACCCCCGGCCACCCTCCCCGGCGGGGGGGGGGGGGGGCGGCAGAGGAGATGGAGCCCGGGAGGGGGTGGGGGGCTTACCGGTGGCCGGCTTGCACAGCCCGGCCACCACTTCCGGGGCCCCTTTCACGAAGGCGTCCATCTTCTTCTCCCCCAGGATCCGGGCCACCACGCACATCCGCTGAAGGGCGGAAGAGAAGGGGAACTGGCGCACGATCCCGATTTCGTAGCTGGCCTGGTCAAGGAAGGGGCAGGTGAAGGGAGCCGCTCGATGGCTGGCCGGAGGGCAGGCACAGCCGCCGAGGGGTGGAGGGGAGCCACTCACCGAGAGCTGGAAGAGCTCCTGCAAGGGAAGAAGAGAAGAGGGATTCCTGCAGGGCAGCCTGGGCCGGAAGCCTCCCCGGAGGCGGAGGCAGCCACGCGGGAGGGCCCCCCCCACAAGAGGCCACGGCAGGGAGCTGGGGCGGCTCTCGGGGGAGGCAGAGGCAGCAGCCCAGCCACAGGGCGGGGAAGGGGACCCACCATTTCCTTGTTGTTCCCAGAGTTGAAGTCCGGAAGAAGCTGCTTAGCCGGCCGGACAACGGTGGGCATAATCCGGTTGTGAAGGGCCGTCTCCTCCTCTGTGGCCTCTTCCAGCACCTGAAGGGAGACACCCCCCCCCCCCACCGAGGGGTCCATCAGCACCGACCCCGGAGAGCCCAAGCCGTGGGGGAACCGGCCCCTCCCCCGGCAGCGCCTTCTCCTCCTGGCGGGGAGGGGCTCACCCATCCGGTGGCTTCGAACATCTTCAGGTCCAGCGGGTCTCCGGAGAGCAGCCCCTCGATCTTGGTGAGGGAATGGCACGTGGCCATGCAGGCCACGAAGGGCGACCGCACCAGGCCCTCCGTGCAGGCGCTCTCCTCGGGCAGCTGGAAGCTGAGGGGAGCAGGGAGAGGGGGGCAGGCTGAGCCCGGGCAGGCGTCACCCCGGCACCCGCAAGAGGGGGCCGCCCTGCCTGCCCCACGCCCTGGCCAGGTTGGGCGGAGGAGCAGCAGCCCCCCCCCCCCCCCCCAAGGATGTTGGGCTCTCCTCTGACTCACCGGGCGCTTTCCACCCTTTGGATGCCCCAGAGGTCCAGGCCGTCCTCCGTCAGGGTCCCGGTCTAGGGGGAAGGGACAAGGGCGCTTTACGCCGGAGTAGAGGCCACGGGGCTGCCCTCTGGCTTCACCAGCCGCTTGGCAGCCTCTGGGGGCCACAGCCAGGAAGGCCCGAGACAAGCCAGGCCCAGGGAAGAGCCACGGAAACCGTCCCAAAACAATCGGCCTCCAGGCCAGGAAACTCCAGCCCACGCGGGGATGGAGAGAAGCTGGCTTCCCCCTCCCTCCCTCCCGGGTATCCCTAAGAGGCAGGGTTGCAACTACAACCCTGGAAGAGGAGAGAAGCCCCCACTGGGAAGGCCGTGCAAAGCGAGCAGGGGAAGAAGCCCCCTGGCCCCCCTCGGCCAGCCTGCCTCCCTTCCAAGGGTGAGCAGGGCCAGAGGAGCTGGGGGGGGGGGGCACCTGGCTTAGTGGCCTTGGCCAGACCCCAGTTCAGGCACCTCCCCTTCTGGGCTTCTGTCCCCCCCCCCCCCACCCCGCCCCCGCAGAGGCTCCCAAGGGGAGGAAGGCTGACCCAGCCAGAGAGGAGGGTGGGCAGGCCCAGAGCTGAATGGTGGGGCTCCCAGCTTCCCCCCCCCATCGCTCCCTGGGACCAAGGAGGCCTGGGTGGGGCGTGGCTGGGTCCCTTGCCGGCTCTGGCTGTGCAGACTTCCTCTCCTCCTCCACCCCCCTCCCCTTCCCCAATGGCTCCTTTTCCAAACCAAACAAGGGAGGGGAGTTTGCCAAGGAGAGAGCTTGCGGGGGGGGGGGGGGGGGGGGCCGCGGGGGGGCCCCCCCCCCCCCCAGGGGACGGGGGCTCCCAAGTCCCCCCCCCCCCCCCCCCCGCAACCCCACCTTGGTCACGTGACACTGGGACTCTGGGCGCTTAGCAACAGGCCTGCAGGCAGACCCCTCACTCCAATTTCCAGCGTCTTTTTGGTTGGAAACTCCCCTTTCCTTCCGGTTTCTGGCAGAAAATGGTGCCCTAGATCCGTCTAACAAGGACGGTTCACTTACTGACCGCCACAAAGGAGGGTCATAACCGGGCACCCGCTTAATGGCCACCAAGACTTAGGGCTGTATTCCTGGGCTCCCTTAGGGGCGTAACTCAAGGCCTGCCTGTCACCTGGGAGGGGTCAGGATGACTCTCGGGAAAATGCAAGCGGCAGCCCCCCCCCCCCC